TCATCGTCCAACTCGGCGGCGATGACCCCAGCAGCCTACCGACAAAGCACTAACCCTTAGCCCTCACGAAATCTCAATCTGTGCCTTGGCCCAGCTTCCCGTAGATTTCTCATTCCCATCATCATCGTCCAACTCGGCGGCGATGACCCCAGCAGCCTACCGACAAAGCACTAACCCTTAGCCCTCACGAAATCTCAATCTGTGCCTTGGCCCAGCTTCCCGTAGATTTCTCATTCCCATCATCAGCAGGCACCTTTTACCAGCAAACAATAAGTAAACCAATAAGCCCAAACAGATTACAACTGACGACACACAAGCCTCTGGATCCACCGCTGCGGCAGGTTGCTCCACCTGTCGGCGTGCTGGCAAGGGCTAGCGAGCAGTTTTCACAAAGCCCTAAGAACCCACAACCTCTATCAATGACACAACCCCAAAGCCCGAGGCGTCGCTACATGGCCCGATTGCAGCATACCTAGCTTTAATCTAAAATTCATCGATCTATATAAATAATGTTCTTAACCTTGTCCTGAAACCCGAAGCTTAAAGCCTCCAGAACCCTAAACCCGGTCTAGGGTTTTGGGTTTTGTGAATGTTGTGCCCAAGAATCAGTTCGAAGGCTTGGGTAAATGTTGATGTTATATATCTAGGATCGCATCTATCATGGGAATTGTCGATTGGTTGCTAGCTGAATACCTGGAGCCTCAGAGTACGATAGACCTCACGGTGCCCTAAACCACCGGCTCCAAAAACCTTTTACATTCCAAAACCCTTGCTAGAAGCCCAACCCGGATTATTATAGATCAAGTAGACTGGATTTTCTGGGTACCTGGACTTATAACCCCTAAAGCTAAACCTGAAGCAAGCGAACTCGTTGCCTTCGAATCGGCAACCGGATCTGCGGGCGGCGGAACGACCTGCGTGAGAAAGTGTGTTGTTTACAGGGCTGGGTCTGGGTGGGATGATGTGGGACTGTCTGTTTTGGATGGTTCGGGTTCACAGAATCCAGAAAGCTTCGGGTCATAAGAGCGATTGAAGTTCGGGAGCTATTTCAATTAATGCACCTGAGGTAGATCAAGAATCGCCGGAGCCGCAACAATCTCCTGCCAGGATGTCGACCAAATTAGATACATGTAGCCTCACCTTTGAAGCCCACTGCAGCCGTCCTGCGTATCATCATCATCATCAGCCAGGAGATCTATCACCGGGACCGGGGCGGCCTAACCAGAGTTTGTCTCATAGGTAAGCCTACCCCGTTCTGCAAAGCACTGGCCTCGACAGCATTATCATCATCTGCTTGTCCTTCATCCGAAGATTCCTGAATCATTGACTCAGGCTACCCACGAACACTCCCGATCACGATCACAACACAACTTATTTAACTTAGAGCCAACGGTCGATGAAGATCTCGTCGTCCTCACCATCAGACTCCTTCTCTGGCTCCGGCAAGTCATCAGCAGCCTCCTGTATAGTATAATCCTATATAGCTATATGCGATTCAACCTGTTAGCTAGCTTCAACACTGAGCAGAGGACTGGTGCCCCTGCAATTGGGAAAGGCAGGTTGTTCACGTGATAGTACAGCTTCTTGAGCACGGCAGATTCCTTCGTCCTGTCCCGAATGTGTGGCAACGATCAAACTAGAGGAATCAGCTATATTTTTCTAGCTATGGACCAATGGCCTTCCGAAAGGAGTTCGTCCGACGATCTTCTTCACATACCGCCCAAGGTTCAGTAGACGTCCGCCTTGTAGGAGGGCCCACTCCTTCAACGAAGGCAGCACATGCACATGTACAAACCACAGCTGACGAAGACTGCCTTTGTGTGTTGCTTGTCTGCCGGCCTTCAATTTTCCCTTGTTGCCTCGCCCCTTGCAATACTGCTCCGACCAGAAGCCATAGTTGAAGCCAAGAAAGAGGACGGCAGCCTTAGATATGCTATGAAAATTTTAGACATGCATATGACTCCTTGCATGTCATTCGTTTGTCAAGCAACATAGTGTTCTTTTGCATGCGGCAAGTCTTTGCCTTGCCGCAGAATTCCAACAACATAAGCCTTCGAGAGTTCGAAATTCTCGACCACATCGGCTTCGGCCACCTTCGTGTCCAAGATCTTCAAGATCTCACGACCCTGCGATCATGATCCAACAGGACAAACCGACTCGGATGCTAAACCTTAAGCAATCGCAAAAAATGTCCGACCTCGTGAGACCGAATGCGATCGAGCTGAGGCTCTAGAGCTGGGCGAAGCGAATCCACTATCTTCTGAGCATCCACCGTGACCTTAAACCTCATCGGCTTCACGATGCTCTTCGTGCCGTCGGCGCTAGGCCGCCCAAACTGAAGCTTAGCAGCCATCTTTGCGAGCTTAAGGCTGCACGGATCCCTTACAACTATGATTTTCTTCCAAATGAATGCCAAGCTTTTCTACGATAGTCGATGAGGAAGCAAGATTTGCACTTGGAAAGGCCCTATAAAACATGCAACATATGTAGCTCATTCGTTCTCCTGCCGGACCAAGCTTGCGAATCGGTGGAGGGCTTCCAAAGCTGTGCGACACATCTGCAATTACAACTGGAACCCAATCACAGCAGTGCAAAGCAGTGCAAAGGGGGGCAGACCCGGCGACTTCCTCTTGCCATTGCTCGCCATGAGCCACGACACCGACGGCATGTTGCCAAAAATTACACTGCCCTTGACAACTGCAATAAAAGTCGAACCCTTGTCTTTGGAAATGCCCACCGATGCCAGCCATGTCTTGAGCCTGCCTCCATCAGTCAATCATCTCATGAAGCAGAGTATATGCCTGGGCAAAAGTGTATTCCTGGGCACAATAAGCACATGTGCTTCCCCAGCATACACACGGACCCATTGGGTTCAGGAATGTCCGAGAGCACAATCCTACGTCCAGTCGTGACACCTGTAGCATCTACATGGTCAGCAGTCTTAACCTTCTTCACACCACGACTCGAAATGAGCGCATGCAATTCAGGCCACGACCAACATGAACATGATGACGGCATGTCAAGTGAAAAACAGACG